TTGCCCCGTATTGTTAAAAATCAGCAACCGAGTTATTAAGAGTAGCTCAAAAATTTGAATTAGTGTGAAAATTTTATTACAAATTTTCATTTTTAAATGTATTTTGAGGAAAAATCTTTAAAAGTATTGGTTTTTTCCAAAGGGGGTTTTTCTCAAAAAATCCAAAAATGGGTTAAAAAACAAAAAAGAGGAAGCAAAGACTAAAAAATTTAAAGAAGTATTTTAAAAAATTGTTTAAAAAAACGACATGTTGGGGCAAAAAAAACTTACGCAATAAACTCTAAAGTAAAATAAATTTTTTTTTTTTTTTTTTTTTTACCCCAATAAATTTGTAAAAGAGCAAAATTTACCCAGGGGCATTTTTAAAGAAATAAAAATAGAAAATTTTTTTTTTAAAATTTTAAAAATTAAAAAATGGGGCTATTTAAAACTGTATCAGTATCCGATAATCCTAACAATGAATGAAAAAGCCAACATTGCACAGCCATGGTTCCAAAGGTTGCAGTCATTAAAAATTAAGCAATCAGGCCCTAGCTTGTGAAACTTAAGTTCATGAAAGTGAAAAAATATGCAAAAAAATTTTAGTTAAATTATATAGTAGAAATGAATTCCAAAAACTGGAATTCGGGCTAGTAAACATTTGGTAAATTCAAAAATTTAATGGCATAGACTGAAAGTTTTTGGAGTGGCATGGCAGCGGGGGTTGACCATTTAAACCAGACCCACATATCCTTAAATGTAAGGTATGTGACACATTTTTGAATTTCAGTTAGTGTTTTCAATTTTGCGTTTAGTCTATCGGATATGCCAATTTCTCCCTCAAATGATCTATTCCTTTTAAATCAAATTAATTAAAACCCTTTAAAATGCATTAGATCCCGAAATACAATGTAGATGTAGCACTGTTAATATTTAGCTATCTTTTTTTTTCCAATTATCAGTTAAGAACTAATGTTAAATTAGGAATCAAAAAATGTAAAATATATTTAATTAAACCCTTATAAATGCATTTGATCTAAATACATGTGACATCTAAATACATGGTGACATGTCTAAATACATGTGACATGTCTAACTTTGTTAATTTGTTCGTTATGTTTTGTTGCATGAAAAATATAAATTAAAGGATAAATTTTAAGGATAATTAGGAAAATAATACCATATATGGGTAAAAAAATGTAGAAAACTGTGGGTATAAAAAATTTTATGTAACAAAATAATGAACTAGACTCTTCCCAAAAAACTACAACATAACAAAACTGTTGAACAAGATGTGAAAATGTAAAAATTTTCTAACGAATAATACATAAAAACCTTCAGTACAAATGTAGCTTATAACATTAAACATCAATCCTCAACTAGTGATATGAACATTCATGAGGTAAGCAATGAAACCTCAATCTGAAATTATCACAGTAATGATTATTAATGAAAACCTGGCAGCCTTGTTAACTGTCAGCAATTTTATATAACCTAAATGAAGCCAAATTGGTGCATATCTGCCACAAGGTTTTACATTAAACTGTCATACGAGATATTAATGGCACTAAATAAATAAACTGGGGGCCTTTGCACCTTTTCAGGCAAGGAGAAAAACTGCAGCCTTGAACTGGTCAGTAATTTTGAAAGATTGTAATGACATTCAAAGTTTGCTGTAATTCACTGTCTTCTTCTATATTATCTAAAATCTTGCTTTGCCGATACCAAGAATCATAAATTTACGAAAAAAAAAAAGTGGAAAACTGTAAAACCTACAGTATGTCCAGTATGTCCATTGGTACTGCAGCCTTGAACTGTCAGTAATTTGAAATATTGTAATTGCACTCAGTTTGCTGTATTTACTGAGTGCCTGTAATTTAACTGTCATTTTCTATATCTAAAGATCTGCTGCCTTATACCGACAGATCTTAAATTACGAAAAATTAAAGTGGAAAACTGTAACCTACAGTATGTCCATTGTCCTGCAAGCCTTGAAACTGTCAGTAATTTGAAAGATTGTAATGGCAACTCAGTGTGCTGTAATTTACTGAGTGCTGTAATTTACTGTCGTTTTCTAATATCTAAGATCTGCTGCCTTATACCGACAGATCTTAAATTACGAAAAATTAAAGTCGAAAACTGTAACCTACAGTATGTCCATTCAGATTAGTTAAAACTTCTGGTATGATGTGCCATTTAATGTCATGTACAATGTACAATTAAATCCAATTTCATATTGAAATTAAAGCATTAGCCGTGCAGAATGGATAAAACAAACTAAGCCAAGCTGACAGGCAAGTTACATAATTGGAGACTTGTAAACAAATTGCAAAGCATTTCAACTAAGCGATGCACACTATTAAATAATTTATGAATAAAGGCAAAGCACGTCAACTAAGCAATGCCTAAGACAGCAATGGTATGTTGAAATAATAGCAAGGCGCGTAAACTAAGTTAAGCTGACAAGTACAGACAAACAAATGGCAAAGCGGTTAACTAAGCAATGTTTAATAAAGCAAAGGTATGCTGAAATAATAGGCAAGGGCGTGTAAACTAAAGCCAAGCTGACCAGTACAGACAAATAAATGGCAAAGCGTGTCAACTAAGCAATGGCCTAATATAGCAATGGTATGCTGAAATAATAGCAAGGCGTGGTAAACTAAGCCAAGCTGACAAGTACAGACAAACATATGGGAAAGCGTGTCAACTAAGCAATGCCCAGTACAGCAATGGTATGCTGAATTTTTTTTTTAAAAAATAGCAAGGCGTGTAAACTAAACCAAGCTGACAAGACAAGTACAAAATCTACTTGAAGGGTGTGGGCATAAAATCTTATACATGAATTTCTTGGAAAGGTTGTTACTGAAGACTATATGTAACAATTATTGATGATGAAAATATTACAGTACATTTGAATTGATTTGATTATAGATTTCATTTTTATTAATAAACGATAAAATAATTCATTTTAAAATTAATGTGTCGATATGAATATATATATATTAATGCATCAAAGTACAGTACATAGATCTGTAACATGGAAAGCTATACAAAAGGATGTACCATAATTTGGTAATTCAGTCTTGTAGGATGATTCAATTAATTGACTTTGTATAGAGTTCAAGCCAGGTCATGTCTTTTATTAGATAGCATCACTGAAGACTCACTCAATATTACTGTTTCAATATTCTATACTGCAGTCCATTTAACGGGTGTTTCAAAATTGCTCATCTATCAGCTTGCCTAGCAATACACAGATGGAACATCACATCTCCCTTGTCTCATTATTAACTTTGGAAGAAAAAAGCCTTGGTGTGAGTCACTTGTTAGGGACATTGACCTTGGTCAGAAGATGGCCCCTATTGTTTTTGAGGTCAGTAGATTAAAATCAACATGGCCTTGATGACAAAAATGGATTATTTTATCAAGCAATGTATACTTCAGTGCTTTCAGTGCTTTGATTATTGTTGCTTTAAAAGCCTTGTAAACTATAGAATCGAGGGAGAAAAAATAACAGCCGCATAAAAAAGTAGTCCCTAACCAGTGTTTATTGGCTGTTTTACATCATTTTTCTTTCTGCTTCGTCTATAGTGACAAAATCACGAGGTGTGTTAATCACGAGGAGTGTTAGAATAACAAATGACAAATGACGCAACACCCGTTTAACTATACGCTAAAAAGAACATGACGTTAACGCGGAAAAAAAACTTTGTAAAATAAATACAGAATCTTTCATGAACATAAATACACCAATATATAATAAATTACACATAGAATATGGATCTGCACATGTGATACAAAAATTCTCATAATTAATAATAATAATACCTTGATATGAGAAAAAACATACTACATGTATATGTATACCGGCTCAATAATATGCTTGAAATATGACAAAGTTATACATTGTAAAAAACTTTTACATTCATACCATTAGGAGATGATGAGTTAAGCATATGAATCCAGTATGATTCTTGTAACAAGCGTTCCATATCATCAAAGACAATCTTTATAGGCATACATTTAAAATCCTTAATACAATGATTAGTTTTATTAAAGTATGTAGCAACATTGGTAGAAAATAACGGATCTGAAAAACTGTTGATATCAAACCTATGGCTATTCATACGTTTAGACACTTGTTGCTTCGTTTGACCAACATATTGCTCTTGACATTTATCACATGTGACAAGATATATAACATTTTTCGTAGAACAATCAGTATTACTTTTTACATGATAATTCTTACCATGAATATTAGTACTACTTAACATATTACTTTCAATAATGGAGCTGCAATGTGTACATCTGCTTCTATCTCATCTAGATGAACATTTCGCATTTTTGTGATTAGACCTAACGTTAGAATTAACAAGAATGTCTTTTAGATTTTTCGGTCTTTAAATGCAACCAAATGTTTACTTTCAGGAAGCTTCTGCACTGAACATTTACTTGAAAGTTTAAGTAAATCCCAATACTTTTAATGATATTACCAATTTTGGGTAAAGTTGGGTTATACTCAACAACAAAGGGAATAACACTGCCATCACTTGTTTTGTTTTGGTACACAGGGCCTCATCCTGTGTTAGACATGAAACCTTACTAAGTGCATTATCAATGTCATTGGTAGGATAATTTCTTTCCATGAAGTATGGACGTAAATTCTGTAAAGTATCTTCTCATATTTTTTTTACTTAATATCAAGAAATTCAACATGAAACCTTACTAAGTGCATTATCAATGTCATTGGTAGGATAATTTCTTTCCATGAAGTATGGACGTAAATTCTGTAAGTATCTTCTCATATTTTTTTTACTTAATATCAAGAAATTCAAAATGGGATGGCGTTTAATTTTGAGGAAGACGAAATCATTTTTGTGTATGTTTTTCTATTGTACAATGCGGAAAATATTATCTTCAAAACTTATTATACATCGGTTTTATTGAGTCACTATCAATTGAAACTTCTGAGGGAATATAAAAATCTTGAAATCTATTGATAACTGTTTAGTGTGCCTCAGAAGTGTTTATGGTTTAAAACAAAATCGGTCAATAATTTAGAGACGATTTCTATAAAAGTATCCAAGGTTTATTAAAAGATTTTGTTAGGTAAGTATAAATATTGTAATCTTTCTTTTGAAATTTACTATTTATTTTTTTTTACTTTTGATACAACTGATGAATGGCTGCATGTATTGAAATAAAGCATTGATGCAAAAGCTCGTAATTACATTGAGACACAAATAGTATGATTAATATTTGTCTCGCAGTAGGGAAAATGAGTAGATAAAAAAGTTCAGATTAGCAGAATTATTGTATCTTATCATATTTGTGAAAACAAAAACAACTAAGAAACAAAAAAGGGGGAAAACTATTTTTTTTAAGTTATCAGATCAAAAGTATAAGACGAAATTTTACAATCAAGAGCTCTGCTGAGCTGATGCAAGCAATTTATGCCCGATGGCAAATTTACAAGAAGGTGTTATGGACAAAAATGTGTCTAAGATAAAGATTGCGAATCTATTGTTGTAAAAAGGCTCAGATTATGACTTTTCAATCAAATGTAAAAGAAAAAAATGTTCTTGGTAATAAGTCAACATATTAGTAATAGAAGATAATTGAACAATATTTTTGTTTGTAAGTTTGGGTTTTACGTCACACCGACACAGTATAGGTCAATTGAACAATATGATTTTATTTAAAGAGTTAAATCAAGGTTGCAATTAGCTGATTGCAGATTAAATCAAACTTGACCTTCGTAACAAATAAATTTGCTTAAAAGTTTATTTAGAAGTCGAAAAACTCTTATTTATAATGAGTTGATTGCAGTCAAAAGCGAACTTCATCTGATTTTCATATAACATTAATGCGAAACATAAACACAATAATTATAATCGTTCAAAAAATGTTTTAGAAACCAATTGTATATGGCCAGACGTACGGACATTGTCATACCATAATTCATCCCGAAAGTCCACCCGATTTTTTTTACCCCATGAACCTTTACGTCGATAATGACTTTCATATTGCTTTTAATTGTAGTTGTTGTTACTTTTGCATTAGGCATTTCTCAAAGCAAAACGTGAAAATCTAATCACAAAGTATGTATAATTTATAGCAAAACAATCGTGTTGATATTGTTAGTGATTTACATAAAATACAATAAAATACATCGTAACTTTTCGATGATCATAATAACTGAAGATTGACGGACAAGGCCGAAAAATTTGAATTGCATAAAATTCTAAACTCGTTTGGAAACTTTACGAAATGAACAAAATGAATTTCCTTTTCGCGAACAAGATAAATTCGTTGAATTATAAGGATATGAAAGAGGTCTTGATACTTTTAAGGCGACATTTATCCTGAACAGATATCCTGACTGAAACTTCATATACATTAATAATTTCACTGTAATTGAACTAAACATTTATTTGAATGCGAAATATGGGATAAAAAGATTTATAGAAATGTCCGTTATAATACACATCGATTTTAAAAATGTACATTTTTAAATGAAATTATTTTTCAACTTGACAACTATGAGAACATGATTTGAAGACATCACGCAGAAGAGCTAAGTAGATTCTTACAAGTGAAAAAAAAAACAACAACAAACTGAATTCATTGGTAATCACAACAGATTTATTATATTAAAATCAGTCTGGTTTCGTCTGTGGAAAAGATCAAAGCAGTATTATATTTACTAGTACGCAGAAATCTCAAATATCTGTTGCTAAAAATATCTTGCTGTTTCTGTAAAACCGCCATGGACAACAGTTTTAAAAAAAAAAAAAAAAAAAAAAAAGGGTATTTATTTTAGTCTTAAAAAGTGTGTATAAAAGAAAACATCGTTGTAATTACTAACTAGTGTACAAAAATCTCACATATCTGGCACTAAAAACGTTTTACTATTTCTGTCAAACATATGGGCAAATGTTTGTTGTAAAGTATTTTTGGGAAAATATATTAAGTTTGTTTGGTTATGTCCTTGTAGTCAAATCGTTATTAAAGCAACATTTGCTTGTACACAAAAATCTCAAATATCTTGAACTAAAATGTACTATTGTTTCAGTAAAACCTCTCGAGCGCATGATTAATTAAAAATATTATGGGTAAAAAAGCAAAAGTTTAAAGTTATAGTAACTAGTACACCAAAGTCTCGAATATCTTAAAAGAATAAATTAGAATTCTTGTTTTGCATTTAATAATTGTCTATCTATCTATCTATCTATCTATCTATCTATCTATCTATCTATCTATCTATCTATCTATCTCTCTCTCTCTCTCTATCTCTCTATCTCTATCTCTATCTCTATCTCTATCTCTATCTATCTATCTATCTATCTATCTATCTATCTATCTATCTATCTATCTATCTATCTATCTATCTATCAATCAATCAATCAATCAATCACTCATTACTATGAGATTTTGATCCTTAAAAAATAATATATTTTATATGCAAGGATTGTTTCAACAAAAATGCACGGCGGGTAACAATGTCCTCCCTATGGAAATTAAAAATCGATTCGTCTCATGTTTTGAGTGTCGATAATTTATTCAATGTAAAGGGAGTGTGTACATCTTTATCTGTAACAGAATTATTTGAACTGAAATTTTAAATCTTTTTTTCAGACCAAGTTCCCGCTTTCCACTAACATCCTCATGGCGAATGTATCATCAATCATCATTCTATTACTGACATTATCCCTCTTTGCTTATAGTAAAGGGATAATATCTTCAAAATCTACAAAACCAGCGTCAGTTGGCGCTGTATACAGTAATGTGAGCCATTTTACTGACATTGAAGAGTCAAACACAAATGTAACTCTTCCTTCTTTCCTTACAAATGAATGTAAAGTTGTTGTTGAGAAAAGAAGTACATATATATTTCAACAGATACTGAAAAAACATAGGCCGCATTTTGTTCAGTTTCATATTGAATTACTGAATGTAAAAGTAAACAAAACCAAAGACGTGTTTCAACCTGGCAGATGGTACTGGACTTTTGGATTAATGTCCAAGCCATATCAATTTCCATTATGGGATTTACGTTATGATGTTTATTCGTTTGGACTGTTGGATTTTAAAACAGCACTTGTACCACGAGTTAACATGACCGTCCATGGGAAATGCAACTTGACATTGGGAACGAAAGAAACATCCACACTTATCACGAAAGCTTTAAGTCCACTCGTCAATATCGACAGCGCATCTAATCTACCACGAGGATATCAGGAAAACTATTTTTGTTATCTTTCATTCGACGAAAATATTCGCGATACTTTAGAGTACTCGGCGTCGATATACCTCCTATCCCCTATCATATATATCAACTATAAATGTTGTTTCCTGCAGTACAATTTCAGGGACGAAAGGTTTGACGACAATTGTCCTAAAGACATAAGGCATATACGATGGGCGCATTTAACAATATTCAACATGATTCTTTTCAGTTTGATAATGGCATTTTGTCCAATACCTCTTTTCAAATTATTTGCTTGGTTAGGAGAAAAAGATGGTACAATAGAAATACCAATGAACGACGAAGACGAAGAAGAATGGATATATGCAAACGGAGAGCATCCTCTTACATTTTTTGATGTCATGAGCTTTCGTGGCATTGGTATCGACAAACAATGGCCAGTGTTAGTTTCAAGAATTAGAAGATTCTTTTGTCTTATTTTGGCACCTTTGATAATTTATATAGATCTGTATGTGAGTACCGACGGTACTGGTGTTTGGAAGAAAGGTGATAAAATAACTATCAAAGATTTTGTGGATGTAGGAACACCTCTAGGTTTTCTGGCACTTCTTGGTGATGCAAGCAATAGACATAAAGTTTTCGTCCCGGCATTAGGGGGACCTGTTGGCATCACTGCTTTTTATTTTGTTCTTGGTTTTTTCTTTTTAGTTTTACCTAAATGTCTTACAAATGTTGTAAACAATGGTTTGCCACCTTCTTATATGTTTTGTGAAAACCTTACTGTCAATAATGACGAAGAAAGACAGTGTCCCAGCAGCAGAATTATAAAGTCGCCCCTCTTATTTGGAGCAAATGATATTATAAACATGTCACAGATCAATGTTGGCCGTGCTGATTTGGAACCTGGATACAAAAAAGGTGGTACTCTGATGAGATGTAATTTTTATATGTTATTTTCTATGAAATTCTGGCGTTTAGTCTGGCGAATACAAATAACTAGGGCACGTTTCATTTGTGACCGAGTGCCAAAGCTTCTGTGCTTTCTCAGTGTTGTTTGTATATATTGTATATTTTATATATTGTGATTTGTCTTTTAGAAATTTTGATGTGTCTTTTATATTTTGGGGTACCGTTTTTCTTTTTCATAATTGTAATGATAAGAGCGGCAATGAAAATGATACCCGATTTGAGGAAAAAATATACAATATTTTCGTACCTTTTCAGTTTTTGTTTCACAAGATGCCTCTGTAACTTTGTTTCATTCATATCAATTTTGATATTTGCTTACTGTAATTGCTTGCTGTTTGTTTCAAGCTTTAAATTTGTCTCTAAAACAATAACATACTGTTTTGTGGCTGTCGTTGTTTTCCCTTCGGTTTCTTTTGGAAATATTTTCCTTTTTGTCGTTATCTTATATTACATAATACGCCAACTAAAACTGTTTAAATATAATTATACATCACTACTTCTTTCTGCAGTCACAATATCAAAACGGATCAATAAAACACAAAATCACGTGACTTGCTTCAATGGTCATTTGGCTGTTTCAAACGTTATGTTTAACGAACTAAGGGGAATAGAAATTAATGGACATTGTTGGATTCTTCTCAAAATACCGTCATGCCTAATACAAGTGAATATGTTATTGAAATGAAAATAGAAGAACACAGCTATGGTATACCATATGAGCTTTTCCAATTGCTCATTCGAAAATATCGTCCAAAACAAAAACTTGTTCTGTCGTTGCTATTAAGAGTTTCTATTTTAACATTCTGGTTACTCCTTTTGCCTAACCATAACACACAATTATAGTTTAGTACCCGATGACCAAAATAGCAGAAGTACTTCACGTGATATTGATCATTGCTGTTGGCGCATTGCCAAAGCTCATAGAATCTAATCATATCAGTCCAGTCTAATGTACCAAAGGACAAAATAGAAAAGAAATTCATGGAGCAGACAATTATTGAATACTGGACTAAACGAAAAGCATCATGAAAAAGTGTAAGTTCAACACTGCTTTTCTAGATATTGAAAGGGACATTAGTGTTAACAATCGTTTTCACTTGCGCCTGTTTCTGCAATTTTGCAATGCTTTTCTGTACGAAATCTGCTCCTGTGGTCATATTATTATTTTTACAATAGGTTAAGCTCTCGAATTTGATATGCAAATCATGGTCATGCAACTACATAATAAGGTAAAGAAACAAATGCTTGCTTTGGTTGAGTCTATTATGTTTTGTTTAAGGGGGTGGGTTGTCATTCACAAATTAACAATTTACATGCATTTATATTTTGCAATTATTTTTATTATTTTAAATGTTTCTGAGATAGTTTCATCAAATTATTTGTAAATAAAATTAATATATGTCCGATTAAAGGCTTAATTTTTATGAAAATGAAATTAATTTACACCTTAATGTGTACTGATCACGTGATGGTTTCAACCAATAAAAAACATCAACATAGTCAGGCAGAAAGTTTGCACATAGTAAATCGAAAATCTTTATGAAGCAAACAAACATTGAATTGCAAGTATTCATTTTGTATTATAATTCGGCCGAAGAAACTGTCCGAGAAGGGCTCGACATGTTCGTATGGTTTGATGGCTGCCGTTACAGTAACACGTGTTTTTTATAGTTTGGTTTTATTGACCTGTCAATTATGAATACATTATAGCACTCATTTAAATATTCGATCCCACTTCGGTTGTGTCCGTTTATTTTACGAGAATTAATATGGAGCATATAAATAATGTTTGGATAACTCCCACTAGCTTAATAAAGGTTCTCGTAACATCCGCAATAGCGCAGTCGGTTAAGTGATTACCTAATGCATGAGAGGTCCGAGGTTCGATCCCTTCTTTCGACATTCTTTTTAGACTTATTCTTTCTTTATTTTTAAGAAATTTTTTATTAAATGGTCAAGCGCCTGCAAAATTGTCTACACGGATATGAAACACCTAAGAAACACTCAATTGTCACATTTTGTATTGTATTTTACGGTACTCAAATTACATTAATTGATTTTAATCCTAATGAATTTTCAGAATTAATTATGTTATAACAAACAGTTATAATATAACAATGTTATATACAAAAGTATAGTATTAACAAAAAAGTGCAAAACATATTAAAAACGGAACAACCATAACTTCAAAAATGTTGAAAATCGTTATGAATAAGAAAAAAACCTGGACATACTCTGTCTCGATCTTACAACACGTTGGACATTCAGATAAAATATACCCGTACCCTATTGCGCTATAACGGTCAGTGTAACTTATTCATCGAAACTAGATAAGTTTAATCACATCTTACTGCGTACCTCTCACGGAATTTACCGAACATTTATCGAATATTAATATATTCTGTGCATTGACCGTATAATCAGTATGGAATTGACAGGTTAATAAAATCAAACAATTTTTTTAATACAAGCATCGCTATGACTTAGCGCCTGAATTATAAAAATATCAAAGGAAAGGAAATACCTTTTTATATTAATTTTAGATATTTACAAACCATATTTTTTTAAAGATCAATCGATAACAAATAATGATGTTCTTGTAAACAAATAATAATTTCTCAATTCTATGACTATAATTTACAATGAAATTCTACCTTTTATGTATTAAAAAAAGTTTTTAATGTTCTGCAAAATAATAAAAAAAACCTGGTCGGATCGTGTCCGTGTCGTTCCTATATTACGTAGGAATATATGTTATATTTTTCTTGATTACTTATTATTTGATACCGATGACTTTAACTTCGAGGAAAATTAAGCATCTTATTCTTTAAATATCTCGAATTTTGTAACTTACTTTGCAAATTTGTATGCTTAATAAAAGTAACAATCAAAACGTGTTTTGTTGAATTCTTGATTTTCGTTTCTTGTAAACTTTGATATGATTATAATCAACTTGGTGGATATTTGGATAGAAAATTGGGAAGGCTGAGTATGGCTCATAGATTTCGAGTACATATTCATTAGTCTATTTATTGATACTTGAATGTATGTGTATAAAAAGATAGGAAACAACAAGTATACTAGAATTAGTTACAAAGCAAGCCTTCTATGAACAATATCCATAAGTCATCAGAAGTCCTCGAGCCAACGTAAGAATTATAACAATTGAATGAACTGTCAAAGAAAGGTGATCAAAATGCGAATGCATTTTTTACTAGTAAATTGATAATCTTCCAAGGTTCATTTATTAAAACGGATAATATAAAGAATGATAATGACAGTGATTTCTAGTTGAAACACTTCTAGAATACTGAAGAAAAAAGTAAATAATATTGAAGACTTGATTTGGTTTAGTCTGCTCATAAGAGTTACTGGTAGATGCACTGCCGACCACAATCCCTAGCACCAAACACCGACTACAGCGTATTCTGATTTCTAACTGATGGGCTATATAATAATGTTCTAAGGTTGAGATGAAATGTGAGTTGCCACACAGAATTTTACAGCTGCTGTTGTGGGTAGATAAATTTTAAGGATATATTCCTTCTCGTGCACTTGTTGGTTTCTTCGTTTATTTAATGGAAGAAGAAGACATCAGATACCCCTTCATGTTGGATAGCAATGTGAATACATCAAGGGACGAAGTCATATGAAATTGTACAAATTATGTCCTTATTTATTCATTTGGTTGTTTATTGGCCTTATAATAATGTGATTGCAGTAAATTCATATCTACCATTTAACCTTCTTTCCAATGGCGAACTTCTATTTTATTGTGTTTAATTGTTTCGTTTTGCGTGTGTTTTTATGAAAGTTTATTAATCGAGGTCAAGGCGTCTTATGAACATGTCAAAAATACATTAAAGAAAAGAAAATTGATCAAACTATTAAAGATTTTAAAAGAAGCAACCATGAAAGAAAGGAAAAGTCCAGATAGTTACAGTTTAAAAATTACTTAGCTATATTAATCGCAAAATTCTTTCACGACACAAGTTCACTAAATGTCGTCTTATAAAACAGTGATTGTAGCAAAGATACCTAGAATCGGTGTTTGAACTAAGAAATCTAAAAAAAAATCATAACTATTGGCTACAGCAAATATATAATAAAACACTGGCCAATTTTATCAACCTAGGTATTTCTTGTGAGCAAAATTATTAATTAGGAACATTTACGTCAGAAAGTATCCCTTCAAGTATGATTTAAGATTCACAGGGTGTACATTTGAATAGACGGCATTTCTTTAGTTGGTGACATGACGGAAATGATTATTTTTGGCTTTTGGTTATATTGCCGACATTGTTTATAAAAAGTGCAAAAGCACATTTAATAAATTAGGTGTTTGTACAAAATCATAGACTTATTCCCTTGAGTTGAATGTACAAGTTGTCAGATTTCGCTACAAAGATTGTCTTCTGTTCAGAATAGACGAATAGCCAAAACAGCTATTTGACACATTTCACCACGATTACATTTGTTGTAAGTTGTAAGATGTTGGCCATTTTAATTGAAAGTACTTCGAAAGAACTTATTAATGCGAAACAAAACATAAGTTTGTTTCACACAAGCTTGTGTTTGTCAATACAAAATTGTTTTTGTTCTTGCTGATAGCTATTCCGTAGAATCATTTTTATAGAACCTAAAATTGATTCCTATTAAGGTTAAGTCTCCTTCTTTAGCATAATGTAAGCTTATATTGAATACACATGACACTCCCCACCCGGAATATGAAAATAATGGAAATAACTTATATACGATATGGAGCTCGGGAGCTTAAAAGTAAATGAATAAAAATAAGCCATCTATGTGCAATTAATCATGCATTTGATATAAAGTTTAGTTACACATTTCTGTTATTTGAGTAACTACTGTTATTCTAGATTGTAAATAATTTTCAAGTATTTCAAATAAGGAAGGAAAAATGCTCTTCATACTGACAGATACTATTTTCAGTCAAGATCTCTTGTGGACGTGTTTTTTTCAATTGTGTAAGTGATTCGTATATTTAAACCTTAAGTACTTTAACCTCGTTTTGAGTAAATGCAAAAAGCTAGAAATTAACTTTAGGTAGTTTTGTGCGTAAAGGGACACAAGCAAAAGGGACACAAGCAATTGA